GCTGGTGCTTCTGGTGTAGCCAGCATCTCTGACAAGCGCAGGATTTCCTTGCTTTGGGCCTGCTGCATTGTGCATACCTGGGCCGGCAAGAGTGACCCCAGCTTCTCTCCCTTTTATTTTCAGTACACATATATATATATATATATATGCATACAAAGGACTAGAAAAGAACAATGAAACCAATGTTTTTGCTTGGAGAGGTGCTTCAGAAGGAAGTGACATTGAAGCTCTGGATTTGGTGCTAGTAGGCACCAGCACGGTCCAGTGTCCATACTGGTTACCCCCCTCTCCTACCTCAAAGCTGAAATACAAGTGCACACCGGGGACTCCTTCACCATAGACTGTATCCAAGGTCTGTCCCATTCCGACCTGCGCGTGCAGTTTCTGTTGTTTCTTTCATGTGCAATTAACTTTACCGCATATAGAATATATATATATATCAACATGTTTTCTTTGCATGTGTTTGCATCCCTGGCCCAACCTTTCTCTAAAATAAATAGAGCCAACTGCTTGTTCATGAAACAGAGTGATTTTCTGCGTGGGTGCCCGAGCCTCTGCGCAACATGTGCAGCGGATAGCAACTTTCAGGATTTGCGCAATCCACTCAAGGTCTCGAGGTGGAAAACTAGGATTTTCTGCAACCCCGGCAATGGCAGCGTGAAAGGAAGGGTCCATCTCCTCCAGCGCTCTCTTGCACACAGAGCGGTGCAATGACTTAGCTGACGCCTCCTCATCCTTCAGGATCTTGTGATGCACAGGGAAACCAGAAGGCTTGCGATCAACATTCTTGAACTTCTCCAAATCCTGCTGCAAGGATGACACTGTACCACTCGCTTCAGAGAACCTTCTACCTGGAAACTAAATGAGACATGTGTCATTACAATATATACACACACATACGCACATACCCTATCCCCTAACAGCACAATCACTTAGAACATATACCAGGAAAGCCAAAGAATCACAAGAATGGTGTGAAAAGAACAGTGGTCGGCCTGGAATGCCAGGAGCGAGTGCCATCCACAATATCCATCTGCAGGAACGGGAAGCTTGTCATAGAATTGCACGCCGCCGCCACCGGTGTTTTGTCCTTGTCTAACCCCATCATCTTTCCCACGAATCTGCTTCACCAACGCTGCTACAATCTGACGTGTGGCAGCCTCCACATGGCCAACGCCCAACTCCTCTACCCAGCACATGTTATAGGAAAGCCTTTGAGAACGGTCTCTGGGATTAGTCACCCAGCTGATGGAAACAGCTCGCAGTTCATTGGATTCGGGGCATAGTTCCCAAGCATACCAATCTCCACTGACAACACGCGAGTAGTCAAGGGCAATGATGATTGCAGCACCGTTCAGCTGCCCCATGATATCCTTAACCAGGTCTGGATGTTGCTCCGGGTAGATCTTGGAACCGACCACTACAGCTCCACATGCTACCAGTGAACTGGATGAACAGCGAGCTACCACCCGTTCGTGTTGCAACACAGACTCTATTGGACCAGTTGTCAGGACCATCTGGGTTGCATGAAGCTTGGAATTCCATGCGTTTTTGCCCAGCAACAAAGCACAAACTGTGTGGTCAGAAGCGGCTAGATTGCAAAGAGTGGAAAGGTTACCCTTGTGCACGCACACGCTTGACTCTGGCAAAAGCTCCTTCTCGCTCTTGGCCGCTGCCACTGCCAAAAACTCAGAAGTAATGTCTTGTGCACCCGCACCCACCTGCTTTTCCTCTGAATTGGTCAAGGTCAAAAGCGGGTCATTTGCTGCATCCTTGGGCGCCTTGTCAATTTCCAGCTTTTGAACTGCAATGTCCAACTGAACGCTACCCTTCACTGATTGTTGGGCTTTTTTCACGCCTTGAGAAAAGCTGCCAGTCTTGAATGAATGACTCATGGTGAGAAGCCAATCATTCAGAGGTTTCAATGTTTCAAACCTCTTTGAAAGAGTCTCCTCACCCATAATGAACTTGGCAGTGTACCAGCCCACTGTGTCAGAAACTTCCACTGTGCTTTGGCCAGGTAATGATTTGACAAAGCTCAGCTGGTCAATGATGTACTGCTCCACTGCGCGCACTCTACCGGAGGCCATTGTGCAAAGTATTCCACTCCTCTGCTTGCTCAAAGCACCCGTCTTGCTGAAACCATGCTGCTCCATGAAAGCTGCTCTTTTCGAGGCCTGACAAGATAGGGAGGGGTAGGATGATGGCTGCAAAGTATATACGTTCTAAGTGGGTGTCCATTGCATGAGAATTGGAACCTAAATGTTTTGGGGTGCATGTGAGAACATAAGGCGCCTTGCTGCCCTTGAAGGAATCAAACTCCGCCACCATTTGCTCGCATTTGCTCGAAAATGCCACTGCTGCCTCTTTGGCAACTTCATCGCTAGGATACTGGGTCTTCAGGAACTTCCTCGTATGGCAGTCCCAACGCACGCAAAACCTCAGATATGAAGGGAGCACGATGGACCCACCATTTATGCTGTATACCATAGGTATGAATAAACCCTGGTTCTAAAAGCTCTATGTACATTGTACCATGTGGTGCCTGCTACATCGATACCATCATGGCCTTTTCTGATTGCAGGCCATTCCAGCAACGGTTTCTGGGGTCACCACTTAGAATAATTGAAGTAATTAGCCCAAAATTGTTCAAGGCAGACGGTGTTTGTCCTTTCGTTATTCCACTCCCGGTAATCATCATGGAAGTGGAAAAGTACAGTACATGTTTGGCAATCCAATGGGCCAGTGTCCATTCCCATGATTATACCAGGGAGTGCATTGTATCATATTGTAACATAAATATTCATGGCAACCTACCGTATGGAACGGAACGGCTTGTGCGACTTGCCCCCCCACATACCAAACCCAGCACCTCCAAAACCCATCACTTAGAACATGTCAATCAGCGCAGGCCTCCAACCTAAGAGCGATGGCCTCCAACCTAATAGTGATGGCTCCAACCTAAGAGCGGTGGCCTCCAAGGTAATAGTGATGGCCTCCA